TATTTATTTATGATTGTATTTTAGTACTGTCTACCTAAGAGTTGATCCAGGTTACATTACTGTGTTCAGATTTCTCCAGGTTAACTGAGGGCACCTCTATGCCTAGGTTCTAGGCGACACCTCATTTTCAGTGCGTGTATTTTGTGTGGGTGTGGATGTGTGTGTCTTACCTCTTTTTCTTGTCCTCTTTATAGATTATTAAATGCATTCTTTTGCACCTTGGAAGCACTCAGCTTGGGCTTATCAGTCTTGGTAATGATGACCTACAGAGTTTTGTCCTTCAATTTTTTTTTTTTTTTTTTTGGCGGTACGCGGGCCTCTCACTGCTGTGGCCTCTCCTGTTGCGGAGCACAGGCACCGGACGCTCAGGCTCAGCGGCCATGGCCCACGGGCCCAGCCGCTCAGCGGCATGTGGGATCCTCCTGGACCGGGGCACGAACCCATGTCCCCTGCATCGGCAGGCGGACTCTCAACCACTGCGCCACCAGGGAAGCCCTGTCCTTCAATTTTTGACTTCAAACTCTTACCTTCCACTTCTTTTTCATTTTGTCTCTTTCAGCACATTTCATTATGCTGCCTGTTTTGTCCTTGCTTACTTTATTTCTCTTTCCTTCTTTTCCTCCTGAACAATATTATACTCTTTTCACATTTCTAACAATGACAGTTCTATTTGCTTTTGGTTGAAGAATTCACCAAAGCATGTTGCGCTTAAGCAGTACATTGGCCTTCTGACAATACTGAGTGCTTTAGGCCTATTTGTCGACATCTGGGTTATCTGTCAACCAGCTTCATAATTCCTGGGTAACAAATGCATTGGCAACCTTTTAAATCCTAACTAAAAGGCTACTGGTAGCTGTTTGTCAGTTTTACAAAAATAAATTTAAATGCTTGGAGAAAGCTAGGTGTTTGGGGCAGGCAGTGTGAGGAAAATAAAAGTAATAGTTCCATTTTTACATGAAGTGAATATACTTATTTTTTTAGTATATTAAACTTAACAAATACTGGAAAAGTTAATAAGCTAGAAAAGCATTTTTTGGCATTGGCATGAAACTAAGTACATGAAGCATTCCCTTTGCTTTTCAGAATTCCCTTATGCAGTAATGACAAACATAGTACTTCTTAAATTGGAATTTTAAAATTGGAGTCTAGCTTTCCCAAGATTGAAATGTAACTGAGGACCAGTTCTGCCCACTGCAATTTATTAATTAAGTTTGGTTAAGAGCAGTTAGCAAATAGTATATAATCATGTCATGCACCTACAGGGTACTGCAATTAGAAATATTTGTTACTATATTTTAATGCATAATTTATTACTTGCTATTTATTTTATGAATGACTTAACTTGCAAAAAATGTATCATAACCCCCTATTATGCTGCTTATGAAATGTAGCAATTCATTTTTCCACTTAAACCTTGTCTAAATGGCTTTAGTTTATGCAAGTATGATTTTTTTTCTAAATAGATCTAACTTTGAAACAAATTTCAAAGAGGTTAACATATCTAGTGGAAATCTGATTACTCTACATTCTGTTATTATATTACTCTTTTGAAACAGTGAATGAACAAGTGAATATTGCTCCCTTTCTGGTCATTTGCTTAAAAAATATTTATTGAACACACTTATTGTATGCCATCTACTATGCTGGGTTTTAAGATGCAATGTTGAATAAAACCAGATATTTGACCTTCATGGAATTTATAACCTAGTGGGAGAAAGACACATTAAGCATAATCAGATTAAAAGTAAAATATTAAACTTAAAATAAGTGTCATGATAATTCTAGAAGCACTTTTTGACCCCTGAGGGAGGCCAGGGGACACTTTATTGAGAAATGACAGTTGGGCCAAAATCAGAAAGATAAGATGTTAAGCTAACATGGAGAGAAAGCAGTCCTATCAGAGAAAACAGCAGGTGTAAAGATTTGGTGGTAGTTATAAGCATGGTGAGGATGGAGTAAAAGATGGCCCATGTGGCCATTCTAAGAGCAATTGGATCTAAGTGTTAAAAAATGTATTCTGATTGAGTTGTGGGTAGCTGATTGGAGAAGGGCAGGAATGGATATTGAGAAAACAGTTGCCAGTAACTCAGCCAAGAGAGCCAAGAAGTCAAGACAGAAGAAAAATGGTACAATTTTAGAGGTAATTAGGAGATAAAATTATCAGGACTTGATAATAGATTCATTGTGAGGGATCTAGAAAAGAAAGCTACCTATAATGAGCCTAGGTTTATAACTGAAAGGATTGTTCTATTCCCTTAAATATGAAACACCAAAGCAGGGATCCAGTGAGAGTGAAGAACATGGGTTCAGATGTGAGTTGGAGTTGATTTTTTAAGCATACTTGAAATGTCAAGTAGGCAGTTACACATTTAGGTCTGGAGCTAACGTGGAGATCTCATGTGAAGGTAGGAATTTTCAAGTCATCTTTGTTTAGGTAGCAAATTAAAACTGTATACACACATAAGATCACTTAGGGCTAAAAAAGTATATCTTGAAAAGAAGAGCTGGCCTAATCAGTTCAAGACTGATTAGAGGTGGATGTGCCTTCACAGAAGACCAAAGTGGAGTAGCTAGAGAGAAAGCAGGAAAACCAGTATAGTATTCTGTTACGGAAACCAAAAGGAGAGTATTTCCAGAAGGAGAAAGTGTTCAACAGTATCAAATGCTGCTGAGACTTCAAGCAAAATGAAGTCTGAAAAATTCTTGTTGGATTCAGGGACTTGTAGACATCATTGGTGACTTCTAGAAATCATTGTGACAGCTTTTAGTAGACTGATGGGAATTTTTATGTGGCATGCAGATAAGGAGATGGTGAGTTTGAACATCTCTAAAAGCTTGACTCTGAGGCAGTTGAGAGAGGGTGCTCCTAGTGAACTTTGTACTGAGATGTTTTGTCTTTCCTTTAATGAAAATGAGTCAAACATGATTAAAGATTAGTGGAAAACATCCATTTAAGAGATTGACAATGCTAGAGTAAATGGATAGTTTGTAGTAAGGGTTATAGGAAGGCAGAAGAGGATGGGATCCAAAATACAGTTAAAAGATTAACCTCAGAAAAGTTCAGGGATATTTCTTATATTGTAACTTTATTAATAGAGGAGGATGGGTGATACAACTAAATTTACATTCATGGTAGTAGAAGGATGATGTTTCCCATCTGGTGTTTATTTTCTCCATGAAATTGAAAAAGAAGAGAAAGATGTTTTAGGAAAGCAGACACAGATTTAAAATAGTCATTATAAAGTGAATTGACCAAAATATATATGTATAATAGGATTGCTAGGAAGTGTAAGGACCCATTTAAGGTTAGTTATGATGAATATCTAGTAGATAGAATGCCTCAGATATTTCCTGGCTTTTGGGGTACTGTGATAAAAGAACTCAGAATGTTGTTTTTATCCAGGGTTCACTAGAGGGATTGCTAACCAGAGGGATGAGTTTAAGGTATTGGCAAGTGTTGATTATGTACCTAAACTGGATAAGAGAAGGAAAATTAAAAAGAGAAGAACTAATCATTTGAGAGAATGTATAGGGGTCAGTGAACTAGTGGTTCCAGTAAACTCGAAGACTGTTATGGTGGGTGGGGTTGAACAAGCAAGCTGAAAGAAGTTGTGATCTCAGTGCAGAGTATTTGAATTGATGATTTTAGAAGTGGAATAGTTAATGAGCAATGACTAGAACTACGTGTGACCATGGAAGTGGGTGGCTATGATAGAATAGATCAGGTCATTAGAAAGGAAGAAGTCAAGAAGTGAAGATATAATATTGGGGTGGGTTATTCAAGTAGACACCTACATCACCCAGAATAATGGCAAAACTTAGGGTGGAGAGAAATTGTAAGTTGGTTGCCAATATTGTCAATGATAAGGGGGTGAAAGATACTAATGAAGGGTAAGAGGTAACAGCTAAATGCAAGAGCCTTGTAAAAACAGAATGATGTTGATACTGTTATTTTGGCAAGAAGAATTTGAGGATTATGTGTGCCAAGCACTCTTGCAAGGCACAGAAAACATGTAAATATTGCAAGGCCCCTGCCCTTCAGGAGATTATAGATGGTAGAAAAAGACAGCCTCATGAGCAGTTAGTGACAGTGCAGTGGTAGGTGCTACCTACAGGTATAGTGGGAACTCCAAGGATGGAATGGTTATCTAACTGAAGAAGTCATTGAAGGTTTCACCGGAGCGATTATCTCTGAACTGAATTTCATGTAGTTCCTGAAGTGGAGGAGGGGTGAAGGATATTACAGGAGGAATTATAAGATGTATGCCTCGTAACAATGATAGATAAAACATAAACTCAATAGCATCCCATTGCACTAAGTACTATTATAACATGTGGTTCTTTATCATTGGAATATTTCTATCTCTTGGCCAATAATTCTGTTTTTTTTGTTCTTAGACCTCAGCATTGTTCTGTAATGGGGCGATTTAAAGTGTGTGTGTGTCTGTGTGTGTGTGTGTGCACCTGCGTGTGTGCCCTTGTGTTTTTCGAGTTATGCTTGAAATAATTTGTTACTGAATATAAATAAAAGGGGTGTGCTAAAAACAAGTAAAATAAAATCACTTTCATGCATTTGCTTTTGTTAATACAAATGCCCATTCAGTAAATTAAATTCCTACGATTATGGGTGAAGCTTTGTTTTAAACCACAAGTATTGAAAGATAAATGTGGTGGTCTCTGATGTCAGGGAGCTCACAATTTATTATGTTCCAAGCCCAACAAGATATAAGTGTAATTTAAAATACTAGCCACTGGGAATGCTGTGATTTTTTCTTTTTTTTAATAGGTTGTTTCTCCTAAGTCCTCAGACGCATATTTAGAATGTTGATTTCTTATTCCTTCACTGTTTATGGAAGAAGTTTGATTTCATCAAACTATGAACATAGTTAAATAAAGCTTTGATTAAAGTTGTAGACTTATTCTATAATATTAATACTCAAAATAAGGTATGTTTCTTCTTGAATTAAGAACCTCTCTAATTTTGGCTTTATTCCTTGAAGGTTGTGAAGATGAGAAAAGAAGTGAAGAGAATCCGAGTTTTGGTTATCCGAAAACTTGTCAGGAGTGTTGGCAGACTGAAGTCAAAAAAGTTAGTCATTTAAAGTCATGGTCCTATGACTAATAAAATGTCAAAAGTTGTCTTTATTCAGTATTTACAAAGTTTGAGGGTAGGACCTAGAGGAGTAATTAAATGTCTTACTCATATAGCACTTTATTTTATGTGTAGATAGGATCTGAGTGAAAGAAAATGTGCTCTGTCAGCATGTCCTTACATAGTTTGGACCATATTCAATTAAAATATATGATAAATTCTGTTCTCTCAAAACTCTTCTTGTGGCTTTTTCAAAGTGAAAATCCTTTGAGGTTATTCATGTATTTTATGTTATTAGAAGTTATTTTTTTAAGATGTTGATATAGTTTAACAAATCAAGTGATACCTTGAATCAGTTATAAAGATTTCATATCACCTTATTCCTTGAATTGATAATTTGAAATCTTTAGTACCTTTTGGAAGTGTTTATCAAAACATTGTGTTTCATTTAATTTTTTTGAAAAAATAATGTTTTGTATTTTTGGTATCACTAGTATTAGAGAAAAAGTGTGTTATTTATAGTTCTTATGTTTTAAGCATGAGTACTTACAAAGTCTTCAAATGTGTTTTGTTTCTGATTAATTTCTTGTTTTTTCTTTTGTAAATGTTTCATAAGATAGCCCTTCTGTCTGATATAATCGTGTATTTAACATCTTTATGTATTTATTTAATTCCAGAGAACAGTTGTCATTTAATAAAATTATATCCAACCTTGTAGCTTATGAAACTTAACTGTAGCTTATAAAACTTACATGAAATACAATGTACTATTAATCAATTGATTAGAAAGTATTATTTGGCTTTCCCATTAAGGAATTAGAAGGCAAACTGTCTATCAGTGGTAATAGTCATTAATGTAATACCTGGACAGTGCTTATTTTTGCCAAAAGCTTGGGTTTGTTGATGGAATTGGGGTATGTGTCGGATGGGGGAGAGGGCAGTGCAGGGTAACAGAATGTTTGTTACTTAGAGAGTTATTAAGCTCTTCTAAAAGAAATGGAGAGACTTTTCATTATGATACTAGTCTAAAATAAATGGTTTTTCTGGCCACATATTATAATGTGTCTTTTGCAGGGGTACCAAAGATGCACTGTTGAAAAACCAAAGACGAGCACAACGATTGCTCGAAGAAATTCATGCCATGAAGGTAAGAAATTGTGTGGATGTGTATATATGTGTGTTTCCATGTCTCCTGTCAGCCTGCATTCTATGTGTGTTTGGTGTTACTTATTTGAATATAATTGTGAGTTGACCAAGACTTATTTGTGTGGGTTTGTTTGGTGAAGAATGTAGCACGTTTAGAAAATTGTAATATGTTTGTTTGCATTATTCTATGTTTTTTTACTGAAGTTCTTAAAGTACTAGACTAATTTGAGTCAAAACTATGCCAAACTAAACTCATCTATGTTTAATAATGCTTCATACCTAAGATTTTTATTTTTACTGTAACTTTAGGCATGAAGTCTAAGTTAAGATCAAGTCTAAGTTAAGTTCATGCTGTTTGGTAATGTGGATGGTGATATTGGTGGCTGACATCATGCTTTGCCTATTGCCAACTCAATAAATTTTTGTGTGGTGGTGTCAGCATTTTATTCAGCTCTGTAGTAACTTGAAATAAAATTAGTATTGGACCAAAATGATCCGTATTTTTGTTTTTTTTCAGCCAAACTCTTCACTAGCATAATTTTTAGGTCTTCTCTCTGTTCTTACTTTGTGGAAACTTTCATTTACCAAATGACATACTATTAAATGTCTGGGAGACTGTTTTATTGCAGTACTGAAAAACAACATTTGGTACCAGCAATTACCTTAATTGCAGGGTCATTTTGCATGTTTGTTTGACTGTTACATTTTGGTAGAACTTCTAAGTTTTGAGATAGATAAAAGAGCAAGAGAAATCTCTAACAATATTTTAATTGAGTTAGATTATCAAAGCTTCTCACAATTTTTTCCTTTTGAAGGATGATAAAGTGTCCTATAAGACAGAGTTATCATCGTTAATCTGAATAGAAACTGATGTAGGACATGATTCTTTGGTGTGAAGTATGGTTTTTGTGGGGGTTTTTAAAGTTTATTTTCACAGGACTGTAAAATTCATGGAATCCATTTGATATCTCATAAGTTTTAATACCCTTGTTGTCTAGTCATTCATTCAAAATACTCTGTATTTGACTCTTAATTATTATTTGTACCACTTTGTATTACACATCATTTAGACTTTTTCTTTTTTTTCCTTAAAATTCCTGTGAGAAATAAAATATTTAGGGATTTTTGGTTTTGAGGATAACACTAAGGTAGGAAGTTATGGTTTATGCCGTTGTCTTTCACTTTCTCTTAACCAAGCTCCTTACTAAATTACATTCCTTACCTAAATTTTTCCCTGTAATTTCTTCTGAATAGTCATTTTTGTAGTCCTAAATTATTCAGAGGCTTTGAGCTACCATATAATTGCTGATTTTATTTTACCATGGAAAGGATGGCTTATATATAATAAGCCTATGTACAGTGTATCAGGAGTTTGGGAAGAAAAGGTATTCATTAATCTTTAAAATACTTCCCTTCCATAACTCTCAATAATGAATTTAATTTAGTTAATTAGAAAGAAAAGTTGTCCTATTTTATCTATATGTGAAACTTATTTTCTGTAATTCTTAAACCTCATCAGCAGTAGAAAATCAGACTCAGTGATACTTAAAGTTCATAGGTTTACAAGATTACTATGTCATGATCATTGTTTTTGTTTGTTTTGTTTCTGTTTTTCCTTGTGTTTATAAAAGACCACTGTGGAATTGTTGCCTCATATAAAGCTAAAATTCCTAGCCTGGTATAGTCCTTGAATTCATAAACTTAATAGTATATATATATTCCTTGAGTTAATGTCAGTGGTTAGCGTGATTTAGTTTGGATACTCTTCAACTCCTTTTGTAATGGTATTTAAAAATTGGATTAAATCTAAGTATAAAAACCAGAAAAAGAGTAAGTCTATATGTTTGCTTTCCTTACATGTCAAGTTTCATTCTTCATCCGTAGTTCTTTTACAAAATTGGTCTACTTTTCTAAAAGAAGCAAATACATAAAGCATTTTTTTTAATTGAAAGGTCATTTGTAATTTCTTAAGGGAGTGTTTATCGTGTACATGGGAGTATCAAAGAAATAGTCACAAAACAGAAAGCTCACAGTCTCAATTAAATTTGGAGAAAAACCTCTTCTTACTCATTTTTCCAAATGAATTTTTTCCTTGGCTTATATACCATTACATTTTTAGTCTTGTTCATGACATACTGTCCTATACTTGCTTTATATGATAATAGGGTATTTTGTTGCAAGAAGACTTCCTTAAGAAGAAAACCTGATATATTTTTAGAAATGGGAGTTTGTTTTTTCTCGCCAAGGGAAAAAAAATGGCCTGATCTTTATGATACTATAAAATGATAGATTCCAGTTTTATAGACTGTAATGTATAAATATGAAAGAAATCTTTGCTACCTTTTCTAATAGTATTCACACTTTTAACTTTGATACTAGTATATACACTGGCTTTTGAAACAGTTCCTTTTTCTTTGGATATTAAAGTAGCTTATTGACTTTTACAGATCCCTAAGTTATTTAGCTAGAGAAAGAGATGGTAAAATTGAAGCATACAGTGAAATTAATCAAAATGTCCAAGAAATCTTTTTCTCAACAATAAAGGTAATATAACTAGCTTTTATTATTTACTGCATGCCAGGTACTATATTGTATGTTTTATGTTCACTATCTCATGAAATAGATATTATTATCCCTATCTTACAGAATAGGAAACTGAGGCTTAGAGAAGTTCAGCAGCTTGTTCAAAGTCAAATAGTTGTTAGGTGGTGAACTAACTGTAACTAATTATAAAGCTGATACTGTTAGCTATTTCATGGTGCTGCTTCATTAAGATGAGAACTTCTGAAATATATCTAGTCTCTACTTTCTTAAAGATTGGATTAAGTAATATAATAAGCATGAAACTTGCCCTCTAGGAAAAAAAGGCCCAAAGATGTGTAACAAGTTTTCAGATTCTTTAATTCCTCACAGCTAAATATACCCAGTTACCTCTTTTTTGTTTTTTTTTACTTTCTCCTCTCTGAGGCCATTAATTTTCCTTATGCTGAATATTCCTATGCAGTGATAATTTGTATATCATGTGAGATCTTGCTCTGCCTGCTACCTTTTACTTCTCTCTATTTTAAACTTCTTTCACCTTTTGTTGCGTTTTTTTTTCTATTTTTACATCTTCTACTCTCTATTATTAAAAGCATCCTTTGAGCTTTATCAGCTGTTAGGATTGCCTTATCTCATGCTCCATCATGGCCTGTTTCTAAATGGTTGTCATTAGTGGATCACAGATAGGAAAATGGTGTAGATTATGATCTTTAGAAGCATTATATAAAATAAAGTAAAGTAATACATTATCAAAATAATATGATAACTACAGTTGACCCTTGAACACATGGGGTTTGGGGCTCTGACCCTCTGTACAGGTGAAAATCTGGGTAATAGTTGGGTATAACGTAGTGTGGGACCTCAGTATCTGTGGTTCTGCATCTGTAGATTCAACCAACCTTGGATTGTGTAGTACTATAGTATTTACTCTTGAAAAAAATCCTCGTGTATGTGGACCCATGCAGTTCAAACCCATGTTGTTCAAGGGTCAACTCTATATCATATCATTTGAACTTCACAACTCTAAAGTGGGCAAAATCTTAATTTAAAGGACATATTTAGACGTGTTCTAGACTGCACACACCCCTTGGTTGCATGTTTGTCATATATAGTCATATATTAATTAGAATTTTATGGTATTTCAGGTTGTATATGCATTTCAAAAATTTATTGAGATTTTTCTCTGTAATTTCACATACTATGATTCTGTTAAGTTTTTTCCATTACGAATGCTTAAAAAGAAATTTGGCGTAGGGTAAAAGATGGCTCATTTGTCCTGAAAGTATACTGTGTTAATTATTTGTGTCAAATTAACATTTAATTCACTTATTCTACTAAAGTAATAATATTAATACTATTGTTATTCTAAGATTGTAATTATTTTTGATAGTTTCATCTTTTATTTGTAAGCCAATCCAAAGAATCATATCATCAAATCAGACTCACATATTAGAGATCTTACCTAGAATCCAGCTTTACTAATAGTTTCAAAGATAGATGCAATCAGAAGGCATAGGTGAACATAGGAGAGATTTAGGACTCTCCATGATTCCATAGGTCCTTCCTTTCTGCATCAGACATGTACTTTCTGGCACAGAGTAGATGAGATCTTTAAATGAGGAAGTTTAGGTATTACCTAATAGCGAGCATTTAGATTTTGAAACTTATGCATTCTGTACCCCAGGGTTGTGTAGCTTACATGATATTCTCCAATGTGCCATCCCTCATAAATTCATAGATTCTGGGTTAGTTTACTGTAAGCATCCTTAACAACAGGACATCCCACTGAGAGCATTCATTAGATAAGGACTTTCCTCCTAACAAAAATCATTAGCATAATTACCAGGAGAACCAGTTATCACCATATTAACAAGTAGATTAAACTCCATCACCTACTTTTCCCTGAGTTTCTTCCTGGTAAGGGACGTGAATAGATCCCAAGACAACAGTTTTAATTCTTCCCCTCTCTGATTTATAATAGTATGTCTTTTGGCATTTTTTCCTTTTGTTTGTATTTCCCTCTAACTTTTTGGAATATATTTCAAACCTATAGAAAAATTGTAATGTTACAGTACAGTAATAATACATTGTATCATGTACATGTTTGTCCCTTTACTGGTGATGGTGAGTTTCAGTTACTTGGTTTAGATGTTGTCTGCCAGATTCCTCCCTTTTAAAGGTACCTTTTTCTGTTTGTATTTGTTAAGTAATCTGTGAGATGATAACTTTGAGACTATGTGAGTATACTGTGGTCTTTTCACCCAGTGACTGATGTTCTTTGGCTGAATCAGTTAACAGTTTTTTATTGTTTCTGTTTCTCAGCTGGGAGTTTTTATTTCTCTGATAAGATTTTAATCCATTGAGAAGAATTTTTTTTTTTTAATATCATGGAGGATAGTGATAATAGCCATTTGTGCTTGTGGAGAAGAAAAGATATTTCTTTTTCTTGGTTCTTCATCT